GCGCGGGTAAATTGCACTCCCGAGCGCCGGCGCTTGCGAGTGCACGCACGTTCCTCCGATTTTTCGAATGGTTAATTTTTCTCAGTGGTCCGCGCCTCGCGTTATAGCAATCGCTGGAAAACCCTGAGTAATTGGCCCAATTTCGCGTGCAGTTCGCGTCCGAGAAGCGAGAAAAGCGCACACGCCCCCGTAAATTGCTTCCGCCCGCGAGGGAGAGAGAGAGAGAGAGAGAGAGACGACTTGCTGCGAGCTGCGATAAAAATTTCCTCGTCCGGAACGATAAAATAGGTCGCGAGATCCTTCCATCTCTTGCCGCGGAAGCTGCACATCTCCGCGGATATTCTCCACGATCTCTGCGCGCCCGCCGTGTGCGATCGACGAGACGCTTTTACGTCGAGGCGCTCGTGAAACTCGCGTTACGGCCATAACTTTGTCAATGTTACGGCCCGCAAATAGAAGCTTGCGCGGGATATCAAAGAGAACAGGGAAAGTTTGAACGCCGAGTCAAATTTAATTGCCGCCAATTTCCACGGGAGGTCAATCGATAGTCGACGATAGCGGCTCTGCGATTAGAAATTTCGAAAGAGGGCGGATGCAGTCACCCCCAGACGTTCGAGACGTTCGCACGGCATTACCGCGCCCATCGCCCCTTTCGGTCGTCTTCTCCTCAATGGAATTTCAGGGGCATGCGCCACGCTATATCGGTTTTCCACGTCGCCTCGCGCCGGATGGAGGCGGTTCGCATAAATTCTCAGCCGGATGGCACTGCGTTTCCGTTAGCGTCGCACGCGGAATGGCTTTCACGTAGCGCCCTGTCAACGCGGCCGTTGAAATATTAAAATACTCGTCGATCGGGGGGCGCCGAAAGTCAATTCTTCTTATCCCGTCGCGAAGAACATCCGACGAATATATATTCGAGTCACGGTGAAATTCATCGCGTCGTCATTTGAATTTTACCGTGTCGACGTCGAAGATAACGGCTGTTCCTCTCTCCGAGAAACGGGGTAATATAGGAATAATAGACTGTGATATGTGAAAAAGTACTAGTATATTTTTTTAATGAAAATCTCCGCGACACATTAGCATGCAGCTTGCGTACGAGAAAACAGGGGATAACATAATAATGGTAAAATAACATTTTATGTAACATAAAAACGATATATGTTTAATATTTTGTACTGAATATGCGTGCATACTAAAAATATTATATTTCCTATCATTTGCGATTAATGCGAAATTACATTTCACACAAAATTATACAGGGTGTTTGAGGAAGAAAGGTCAATATTCGGGGAGGCGATAGTATCGGTCATTTTAAGCAAAACAAGTTCATATGAATATATGCTCCATTTCCCACTGTTTCCGAGACAGAGCTACTTGAATGTCTCGTGTATCTACTTTTTTCCTGTACCCTCTTCACCCTTCATCCAATCTCATAAACGTCCGCGGGAATTTACTCTTATACGTCTGTTGACTATTGTGCATAACATTGTAGAAATGTTGAAATGCCTCGCGTATTCGCGAATGTCGAATATGCAGACATGCTGTATGGCTACGGTTTCTGTGACGGTGGTGCTACTGTTGCCGTTGAAGAATACCGTCGACGCTTTCCTGCACGCAGAATTTCGAATCCTAAAGTGTTTACCAAGGTTTTCAATACCAGCGTTCATGTTTTATCCGAACGGGGACGTCAACAAAAATATGCTCTACCTCGGAAATAGTGGGAAAAGCGGCATATATTCGTACGAACATTTTCGCTTGAAATGACCGGCGCTGTCACCTCCCAGAATATTGACCTTTCCTCCCGGAACACCCTGTAGACGAAATTCGGTCTTCTCTTTACGGAGGTGGTTTTGACGAATCTGGACGCAAATCTTTTACAGCGAGAAATTCGCGAGGGGAAAGATCGCTATCATTATTTTCAATGTAAAATCTCTCGACATTTGTATCCTCGTACGACGTGATCGTTCATAATCACGATGTCACGTCGAGATGCATTTTCACGACATCTATCGCAGAAATGCATCGCTCGGAGCTGCCGCCTTTATTACGAAATCGAGCGGGGATCTCTCTTTGGACGTTACGAGGTTGCCAGAGATTGATGGTCGGCGATACGAAAGAAAAAAAAAAAAATTGCGGAAGTGCTTATTGACAAATTGATACAAATGGTGCCGACGGCGATCGCATTTCTTGCGCTTTCTGTGTCTTCCCACGTATGTACCTACCTCGATCTACGGAAACGCCTATCTCTTGTATTTATTCGACGACCGACACGATGATCGTGAGTGCATCTCGTACAAAGTATTTCAAAAGAGGTTGTGGCCTCTATTCTATTATTTGCATATCGGTTCTTCGAAAATTATTTAATATAAATATGACCCATTTTTATAAATAACACTAGAATTATTGAAGATTACTTACACAGACTACCACATAGAAATTTTAGGAGAAAAAGAGGAAAGGGGAAAATTCATAAAATTATGATGAGTATTTTTAAAAAACGACCTACACTGGCCAATGCCTTTATTTAATATAAAAACGACGTTTCGGTCCTGGATTTGGACCCTTTTCAAGTAATCTGTAATCGTATACAATTCGTCACTAAGCTTATATATAAAATAAATACAGTATAATTAAAATGTAGACTAAGAGAGATTATGAGTAAATCGTGAATCTATATACCTGTTTCGTAATTATCCCTGATCTCATATCGTTCGTTTGGCCAATATCACTATGTTAGCAGACTGTGTACAAGCAAGAGAGTCAATAAATAGAATAAATAAGAATAAATAAGATAAATACATAAATTAATTTAGTATATTAGTCAAAGGAATAAATAAATAAGTTAATTTAGTATGTTAATCACAGAAATAAAATTAAAAATGTATATATAACACAAAATTAAAAAACCGCATATTAACGCCGACGTGTAAAATAAGTAACGATGGCTCGTGTGATAAAATCAATTTTGTCCGACTACACTTTGGCATTTACACCTTCAACTTATTAAAGGAATGCTCTAAGATTTACATTGCTCACGCAAAATCTAGATTACGCATTCAATTTATTTATCATATTTTATCCAATCGACTGCGTATACGTTTTTTTAAATTTTATATTACTATGAGCTCATTTATAGTTTGATTTCTCTTCGATATACTGAGGATGGTCCGGTAAGGGTCGAAATCAGGGAAAGTTTCAGAAATTAAGGTCTTTTAAAAATTAATGCAATTATTAAAAAATGTGAAACAAGTCATTTGACTCCCTTAGTAGTGATACATTTGTGTCTTCTAGTTGTAGAATTGTGTCAGTGTATTACTCCTGTCGTGCAGAAATGAGAGAGAGAGAGAGAAGGGGGGGGGAGAGACTTGTCTAAAATCAATGAAAAGAATTTTAATTATAAAATCCGTTCCAGAATTGATCGAGACCTCGTAATCGAGAAGGAAAACGACTTTAAAGATGCGCTGTAGAAGGCGCAAATGGTGTTGATCGAATTATGCGATTCATACTTTTATTTCTCCGATCGACCTGCGGTGTCAGAATGGTCGGACACGTATTGCGGTGCCGTAGGGGCACGATAAACTTTCGACATGTCGTAGCGAAACCGCCTAACATTCCGAAAAGAACACGTTCGTCGGGGAGTTGCTCGCGGGACCGCGAGTTTTCTTTTCTCTATCGAGACGTCATGACGCGCCGCGTCGCGTCACGAGTGGTAACGAGTTTTAGCCGCTTTTACAAAATTGTTCTGCGGGCAAAGTTTCGCACCCGACAATAACGGCGTACGGAGACCCGCTCGCGAGAACTTGCAGACTTTCCGCCAAGCGAGCAATAGCGCGCGGACAACTATTGATATCGTTTCGTAAAACTTAGAGCGTAGACGAATCGCGGTGATAAAGCGATTCCGCGAGTTGTTTTTTGTTTTATCGAACTTTTGTACGCGAGAAAAATCAAGTGCAGTTATCTTGAACAGAGAAACAAGGGAGATAACGTTGGACTCATTTGTTTTGTTTTATAAAGTCGCGCAAAGGCATTGTATTAGCCGCCATGTAACAGCTAAGAATATTATTTTTAGGAATAAGCCGATTCGCCAACTTGCACCGAAAGAAATAATTTCCCATAAATTTCGACTCTTTTCTATTACATGATAAACCAAGAGCAGTTTCTTATTTCTATCTTTACTTTATAATGCTCATAATTTCTGTCGGAGGATACGATCGATCTCCATCAACTTCCTTCAAGGCGAATAATTTTCTGCAATTTTTTTTTTTAAACTTTTCACTTTTCATCGTAGAATCGTACAAAAAGAACGCCAAAGCGCGCACTCTTTATTTTACTTTGTAATTATAACTTCCGTCGAGAATGATATAACGGGTTTCCATTAACTTTCTCCAAGATAATTTGAACTTTTAAACATCATTTGCTTCACCGAGTCAAATTTTACAGAACGACGCACCGATGCTTTAGCATCGTAATTTTCTGACGTGGCAGGATTTCGACAAATTTCGGAATAAGGAGAATTACAACAATGTATATACAATATACACAGTGTACATATAGGTATACCTGGATGCCCATTATTGCGATTACTCGCGGCCATTCCTGTCACGAAGTAGACAGACAACGAGGCTGGCTTGTGTGGTTGCGCGAACCTGGACTAATGTTACATTGGTCATTCCGTCTACCATAGCATTTATCACCGTCGAGCTCGTATCTGCAAACAGTAAAAGCACCTAAAATTTTTGCCCCCTCAACCCTTTCGCTATTATCCCGAAAAACGCTCGCGTTGTGTCTCTATCTATAAATTTAACATTTAGATGTGGCGAAATTTTCAAGTTGATTCTTAAAACTAAGTCTTTTTCATCAAACTCGCACGGCGAAGTATCTCAGAAAAAGCTAAATGCTGATTTGAACCGAAGGGTGTCTTTATTCGATTTTCGCGAAATAGGATTTTCTTCGTCCATCGATTTCGTCTCAATATTCCGCCTGACATTAACTTTCAGAGCTATGCGAGGAATGGGCGCTGGCGAACAGCCGCGAGTGCGTTGAGGGCGGCGGTTCGACGAGCACGACGCACGGGGAGGAATGCGAGGATGCGTCTGAGGCGAGGTTCACCCTCAAATATTTGGGCAGCACCCTCGTCGAAACCCCGTCGAGCGAGGAAGCCACGGCGGAAGCTATTAAGACCGTCATCACCATGGTGCGTACTATTTCGAGCATTTTTCATAATTCACTCCATCGCTGTTTTGAAAAAGCATTTCCCGCTTTGCAAGTTCCTTTGCGATCCAATTGTGTTCCGCAATTAAAAAATTCTGAATTATACATATATATATTTGTTTGGATCGCTCTTTCGATTTATTACCGTTATTATTTTTCGCGTTATATGTACATGAAATAAATCAATACGGAAATGGTTGGCGACACGTAAAATTGGCAAATTCAGTCATATGTGGCTTATATGCACATTTAATTATAGTAGAATTTTTTAAAGTTCGCCTCTCAACTTTTAGTCTTTATTTTTCAAAAACAATGTCCTGAAAATGTAATAAACGATGTGTGTATTTAGTTTTGGAAACTAACAATTGTATATTTTCAGTGCACAAAACACGTGGAAAACTATGTTTAGAAATACTTTTTATTTTTCATTTGCAATTTATAAAACGTATTATATTTACGTTGCATTTATGTAGCAAACGCACACAATATTTTATACAGAATTTTCAATTATTATTAAATCTAGCGAGAGAGAAAGAGAAGGAGAGAGAGAGCGGGGAGGAATGGAGGTATAGGGAGGGAGAAAGAGAACGAGTTTGCCGCTTGCGCTGGAGATTGCCACTGTATTATTTATCGTTGGAATTGTATTGCACCGTGTAATTTACTTTCAACCATTTTCCGACGCGGCTGCCGTGAAGAGAATTTAATTGAAATTGCAAGGTACTAATTTCTTGCGCATAGCCGCGGGTCCGTTAATAGAGCTAATGAAAATGAAGCGTGATTACTTTGCGCGATGTTTATTCGCTGCTTTGTCTCTGTCGCGGCTGACGGCATTCCAATTATTTCTTTTTCCCTTCTTTTCCCTTCCGTTGTTTCACGCCGTCCGGATTTTGCCGATCGGCGATGAAGATTTTATCGAAAGTCGGATCACGTGTTTTGCAATCGTGCCTGCTAATGTTCCACGAAACAAACAAAAAATGAAGGAAAAGCAGCGAGCTCGGGCGCACGCAAAAAGCGGCATTAATGAGAAACGGCTTATTTGAGCCAACTTCCACTCGTCCGCTAATTACTTTTGACTTCGTATGTGAAATATTGCGACTATGGCTGATATTGCTTCCGATGAAACTAGTATTGCTTTTTTCGTGCGCGGAAATACCATCGAATTCGTGATTTTTGGCGTTTTATCAGGCATGAATGTTAATTGAGAAAAAAAAATTACTCTAAAATTTCCAATTTACTTTTTATTGATGGAATTTTGAATACTTTGGATACAATACGTATCCAGGTATCTCGGTAATTAATAGAAGATATTCAGTATTCAGTATTATTTATTTATAAAGATCACACGTGGATTAGATTGCCGATGAAGTGCTGTGACAAAATGACATGACAAAAACTAGTTAACTAGTAACTGATTTTATTTTGGGCGATTAAAAAAGAGGTCGTCATATTCAGAAGCTGCAGAGCACTGTCAATTTCTCAATTCGATTTAGCAGCGAAATTCTTGTTGAATAGCGTAATCGACAGAGGAAAACGAATTTATGCGATTTAGCAGCGATCCGAGGAACATGATTAATTAATAACGAAACTTCGTCCGCGTCTCATATAATTCCAATTTCGAAGCGATTACAACTCGTACCGCGAGATTACACGGACAGAATTGCAGAAAGCGGTAATGTATGTATTTCGGCAATTTCCTCCCGATGCAGTTATTAATGAAAGGATTCAGTCAACACGCGAACATGGAAACGCGTACGCCAGAATTTCGTTCATTCCACAATAAATATAATTTACAATGTTTATACGTTTGCGCACACACCCTATAAAGATAAAAGCTACAATGTCCACATCATACATTTATGATAAAAGCTTACACGGAATATCTACAATATATCTGTAATTTCTGAGAGATTATAATGTAATGTACGTACGTACTATTTTTCTACGATATTTTTCTCATATCGTAGATAAACATTACTTGCAGGAATCTCTTGATTTGTTGTTAATTATATCGTTTTCTGGAAGGATCATTTACACTGATAAAAAAATATCTTAATCCAAAAGAATATTACTTTACTCAAGAAAATTATTCATCAGGTGGGTTCTAATAGCTTATTAACTTATATTAAAACAATAATAAACAAATTCAAACATGTATTTCTTTAATTTAAGTATTTATTAAATATCAAACAGTAGATAATTTTAAAAAGTTTTACTTTAATTCTATACAATGTTTACTAAGATATAAGTTTTACAGCGAAGAAAATTAGATTTTTATTTGACAAAAACAATGATTTAATTTAGTAAATAGTATTCTCTATCTCATGAAATCATTAGTTGAATATAGAAAATGTAATGATTTAAATTAATTTACTTAATATAATATACAGATTTACTTGAAATTTGATATTTTTATTTAAATAAAATAAATATTTACTTCAGCAAAATAATTTTAAGGAAATCTATTTATTTACTTAGTTTAAAAACAATTTTTGTCAGTGTAAGAATCTCAAAAATGCGTAATTGCACAGAGAGAAAGGTTTCTTTGGATTTAGTATTCCTATTTATTTGATTGAAATTTGTTTCATTAAAACAGCATATGCTTATACGAAACATTATATGTTTTGAATAAAAATTTTGTTGTTTTATTCAAACAACCTGTATTATTTGATAGAAAAAACACTATTATTTGAAGTATCTAATATTTTTCAATTAAATAATTATATTATTTGGCCAGGCGCTTATAAAGTTTGGTGCTGCCACTAGATGGTCACCGAACTCGTAAGTAAAATCGCGGCAGCAGATATACATATATGCGACCGCATCAGCAGACGCAGTTTAATCATTTAATGGTCTATTCTTTATTATAGCTGAACATAGTGTACTAATTCTTCTAATAAAGGAAAAATTCTAATGTAGAGGGAGAAAGATGTATGCATATATATTTTTTTTCACATATTTTCTATCAACCGATAATGTTGTTTGAATGAAACGATAATATCGTTTAGATTTGTTTCAAACAAATATTTTATTGCTGACAAAGATATACATGTATATTATTTCAAATTCAAACAATCGTACTTATTAATTCAAACATTGATTTGTTTCGACCATTCAAAATATCAAATTTGTTCGGATAAAATATATTAAATTCAAATAAAATTTATTAAATTCAAAGAAATCGTTCTCTCTGCGTGTAAATACGAAACTGCAAGTCGGGGGACAGTAAAAAATAAAAATGTTGCGGTATGTGCCGCCCGGTTTAGACGTTTAGTATCGCGCTAAGCTGCTTTCGTTCGAGCGCTTTTGCCACAACGCAAACGGATGAAACAACCGCGGTACTTTTTGCGAGCTTTCTCGATTTGGATTGATTTGAAAGTTGCCCGACGCGCGCGATCGTACTCCGCTTCGGTAACTTCCCGATAGAAGTCTACATTGCATCCCGTCTTTGCACTAATTGCCCCGCCGGGTTCGTCTGCTCCGATTGATCTCCTCTCGCCGTCTTTTGTACCTGCGTAATTGCGTCCATTATTGTTAGCTCCTCCTCGCAGCGTCGCATTCATTTACCGGATTGAACGGGCATCCTTTCCGTCTCCATGGCAGCCTTTGTCTCGCGTTGTCTCAAATAATAAATCCCGTTGCTTATTTACATCTCTTCTGCTAGAGAAACTTTTTTTTTTTTTTTTTTTTTTAACGTGTGGAAACCCTTTATGGGTACCCGGGCCCCCTGGGGAGGGGGCCGGGGTTATGTAGGACTGCCCTCCTAATGTCGATCGGAGTGCACCCGGCAAACAATGCCGGGTGCGCGGCCTACCCACTAAAACCACACGGCAGCCTGCGCTGTGCTTTTCTGATTGGGGGCGGCC